GCCAGGACCCAGGTTTCCCAGCAGAACATCACCCAGAGCATCACACTGCCTCCTCTGGCTTGCCTTCTTCCCATAGTGCACCCTGGTTCCATCTCTTCCCCTGGTAAATGATGCACACGCACCCAGCCGTCCACATGATGTAACAGAAAACGTGGGTCATCAGACCAGGACACCTTCTTCCATTTCTCCATGGTCCAGTTCTGATGCTCACATGCCCATTGTAGACGCCTTTGGCAATAGACAGGAATCGGCATGGGCACTCTGATTGGTCTGCGGCTACGCAGCCTCTATACACACCAAGCTATGATGCACTGTGTGTTCTGACACCTTTCTATCACAGCCAGCATTAACTTTTTCTGCAATTTATGCTACAGTAGCTCTTCTGTGCGATTGGCCCAGACGGGCTAGCCCAGGGGTGTCAAACTCCAGTCCTGGGGCCCTGTGTAACTTAATTCTTTCCTATTCTACCACAAATGATTCAGCTCAAGAGCTGTGTAGTAATTAGCACAAGGAGTTGAATCAAGTGTGTTAAACGAGGGTAAACCAAAAACTGTGCAGAGCTCCGGCCCCCCAGGACTGGAGTCTGACACCCATGGGCTAGTCTATCCTCCCCTTGTGCATCAATCAGCCTTGGGCACCCATGACCCCATCACTGGTTCACTGATTGGCCTTCCTTGGATAATTTTTGGTAGGTACTGACCACTGCATACCCGGAACACCCCACAAGATCTTCAGGTTTGGAGATGCTCTGACACAGTCTTCTAGCCATTACAATTTGACCCTTGTCAAAGTTACAGAGATCTCCAGGGTAATGATATAGAGGGCAAATTTTTGAGCGATGTTGCCAGGCAACGCTGCTCACAAATGCTGTTTGAGCATTTTCCCACGAATATTAGGCAACATTTTTCTACTTGAAAAACTTCCGATTGGCAGTGGGCTAATTTTTGCAACCACCCAGATTGAAAGATGTCCTCTGTCTCACCTGATTGGCAGTTGCCTGGCAACATTGCTCAGGAAGTGACATGTGTATCACCTGTACATTTGCTCATTTTTCCTGCTTCCAACACATCAACTTCAAGACGTGACTGTTCACTTGCCTAATATATAACGTAACCCTTGGCAGGGGCCACTGTGTAACGAGATAATCAATGTCATTCACTACACCTGTCAGTGGTTTTAATGTTATGGCGGATCGGTGCATATTCTTAGTATAATAAGGGCAGTAGGCTTTCGGTAACTGTACATAAGAGAAATGAGAGATATTTACGACACACTAAGGACAGCGAACCTCCATCTGTTTTTCTTTATTCATAAGGTTTTTACCAAGTCGAGTGAACTGCAAATATTTTAGTAGTTTATTACAGTCTAGTATTGACAGCAAATATTTGCACGGCTGCCAATGGAAATTCGGTGTTTAATTGATTCAAGTATTACTTAGCGCATCCCCAGTGGTTAATAATTGCCAGTGTCAGAAACATCTTCCGGTGGGATGGGAGGGGAGGGGATCGCTCGGGTGTCCCTAACCCTTAGTTAATAACGGTGGCAGAAAAACGCCTTTTTCGGACTCGCCAAGCTGTTTTCCAAACTCATCTAGAGCCATTTTAGTAAGATACGGTAATGTAATTCGTTCATTTATACATTGCATATTTGTTACTCGGTATTTAGTCAGACTAGAAATTAGGGAAATTTATCAGAATTCAGTGTCCAGACAATGTGCGGCTGGTGTGACCGCGGTCTGAGCTTTCGTGCAGCGAGTAGCTTTCGCAGGATTTCTCCATGTAAAAGCGGGACTTCCCTGGGGATTCTGTAAATCATTATCAATTAGACTGTTATCATAACGTTACCAGACGCAATTAGCACCTCCTTTCATTTCTCTTTCCAGTGGACATACTAATTTTCAGGAGTGTGAATTCCCAGCGCTCGAACCAGCGGCATGGTGGCATTTGAGTTGAGTGAATTTTTTTTTACTTGCTTCTTAACGGCATCGCAAAAAGTTGGAGCGTAACTGTTTGTAAAATATGCCGCTTTTATTTTTTCCGGATCTTTGTGCTTCGAGTTTAGCTTATAAAGTGCATGCATGCAAATAAATTGAAACCCTTTGGTTATAACATTATTTAGGGATTTTTCTGATGTGTGCATGGCAGACTTCTTGTATTATTGGTGTTTTAGGTAGTTTGGTCTAGGTTTGCCCACAAGGACGGTGTTTCTCTCCCTCATCTCTTGCAGTGAGGCCACCAAGCCCCGAGGTGGCGCCGTAGAGGAGAGGGGCGAGAATCCGAACAAGAGCTTTCGGGTGTTTATCCGACTGTGTCCCGAAGAGCGGCGGGACCCCCCGACAGGTATGTGCGTCACCTCATTGTATAAAGGTGTTTATAAGCCCTAAGAGTTGCATTTTTCTTGAGCTATTGACAAAGTTTGTTTCTGTAGAATGGCAAGCTTTGCAGCAAAATAATCTGTTTTTAATGCAAATTACTGTCTCTACTTAGCAATTATATAATGTTTGGTATGTATACATCTTCATTCTTTATACGACCTACATAAAAAGTGCTGGTTTTGAATAGACTGAGACATTGGAGAATTGGTGCTCATTTACTGAGAGTGTTAATTCTTATTAGCAAATATGAACACATTAGATACGCATGTGGTGGTAGATGGTTAGCACATTTGCCTCAAACTTCTGAGACAGGGGTTTGAGTCTCTACCCTGAACAGGACAGGAAGGTCCAGAAGATGGATGGAAGACATTGTGTTTAATCTAAGAAATTGTAATAAACGTTAACTATTGCTTATTTTCTTTAATAATCATTAGTATAGGATCCAAACACTGTATTAAAGTGTGGCAAACTTATGTAAGAGATATTTTGTAATATATTGGTTACAGGTTTGAATGTTATATAAAAACATTTTCTCACAGATGAAGCAAGGGGATTTATAAAGGTGAAGAGACCCAATCAGGTGGTTGTTGACACAGGAAGGGTGAGTGAACATGAGGCTGGTGTTTCAATGTGGCGATTGGGTAGGTGACCTTGAATTTCAGTGAGTGACAGGTTGAGCAGCCAATCAGTAATGAGGAAAAGACCATGCCTGAATGGACTGAATGAGAGTGTAGCAACTATGAATCTGTCCATTGAAAAGGGTGAAGTGCTGTTACTTCTTTTTGAGCAGACCAGTCATTTAGATGTGCATCTACGGCAGCATGATCAAGTAGGAATCATTAGCAGTGTTGCTCAGACCATGCCTCAGAGACCCCTAGACAGTCCACATTTTGAAGGAAGCAGGGAGGAAGCAAAAATGTGGACTGTCTGGCAAAGAGCTGGGATGGAGCAAAAATGTGGACCTTCTGGAGGTCCTCATGGACCAAGTTGGGATACACTGCTTTATAGATCTCCTCTACTTCAGAATATAGATCTCTAGAAAATGATCCTGTTAGACTGTCCCTTTAACAACACGATTTATGGCCTTATTCTCGGTGACCTTACATCCTGAATCCAGGGCCACCCACCCCAGACTCTGGAGTTTAATGCCGTTTGGGACGAGACGGCCACCCAGAAGGAGGTCTACGAATCGGCAGCCAAGGTAATCCACACTTCCTGCTTCCGGTGGCCATGAGGTGCCCTGAATTCACAGGCTTACAGCGTGCACCTGTTTGTATTGGAAGTGCATCGTTTTGTGAGAATCCCATTGATTTGCACGTGCTTTACTACAGCGTAGGGCACAGCTGGTGCCAAAGACGACAATTTGCAATTCAGCGTTATTTATTGCATTTGTAATGCTAATATTTTTAAGCAGTTTAAAATGATACATATTTGAATTTTAATTAATTTGAATATTAATTAATGTTCATTCAGAGGGGCATTGCTGCTGCAGGTCAGATGAGATATTCTGCTAAGTGTTTTCTTCAAAAAAGATTAATAGATTGATAGAACAGTTGCTTATCGAGCTAAGGCCATGGATCTCATGAATCTTGCTCCAGAAGATGTAGTGACACATGGCATTCCAGTACATCAGTCACCTGATTGACGTCTCCTTGGACTATGAGGAGGACTAGGGCAAATTTAAGAGGCAAATTTCACAATTCTGCATTTTGCCCAGTCATATAGAAAGACATTTAAGTAAAGTGTGATTATAAGGTGAATCACCAGGGTAAATCAGCAGCGATGCCCTGTGGATTTGAACAAACATCCCGACTGCAAACGCTTAACTGAGACTCACCGTCGCCCCCCATGATTCTACCGCCGCTGCCGCACACCGGCCCCCAGCCCCTGGTGGAGTCTCTGCTGCACGGCTGCAACGGCTGCGTTATTACCTACAGCTCCCCGGCCAGCGGGAGGTCGTCACACAGCCTGCTGGGAGATGGCGGCGGCGCTGGTGCCCAGCGGGGCATCGTCAGCAGGGCCGCTCAGGACATTTTCAGCTGTATCCCTACTATTCTGTGTCCTGGGTAGGAGGGTGGGGCTTCTCACGACAGTAAAATCATGGGAACCGCAGTATAAATAATGATTTTTAAGGCGGGTCATTATCATAATGGAGGGATATCGGCAAAGACATTATTAATGACATTGTAATTCATTGCAGATCATTTTCAAGTAGAGTAGATCAGCCATGAGTCCTTGGCTCTCTATGCTATTTTGATTTCAGTTGTTTCAGTATTGCAGTAATTTTTTTGCAGGTTAGATTGTGGAACAGTTGCCGTAAATCTGTTGTTTTTGAAAGAGCCTAACCCACTTGGATCACAGAGATGCTGTTTTTTATGTCCTTCACAATGCCCCAGCCTGTAGGAATAGGGTTCAGAACCTTGACTTTCTTAAAGCCCCAGAAGCACTGAACTACAAGATCAGAGTCTCCTTCATCCAGGTTTCCAATGAGAAGATATATGATCTTCTGGTTAGATCTCACCTCTACTCAAAAAATAATTCTCAGCCAATTTTTTTTCTTGCTTTCCTCACGGAAGGGTATGCTGGTGAAGCCCGTTTGCTTCCCTTACAGGAGAGCCAGTCTGCGGAAGTGTGCCGCATCCGTGAGGGAGGGGGCTCCGTGCTGCTGGAGGGGCTGACGGAGGTGGAGGTGGGGTCTCCCCAGGGGGTGCTGCAGCTGTACCGGCGTGGGGCTGGAAACCGTCAGTCAGGTGTGTGATTCGTACTGACAGGTTCCCTTGAGTTTACAGTGAGAAATGGAAGTTGACTATTCAGAAAGAGGCACACACCTTTACCTTTACCCCAAAGTCCAGGGCCATTTTTTAACACCAGTCCAGCCCTGTGGGCCGTTCATTAGTAAGTTGCTGCTTCATAACAAACACATATGTTCAGTAAGCCAGCATAAATGCAGTTAGCAATTCTTCTATTGTGTGGCATCCAACCCTGACATATTTGCGCTACGTCGTCCTCATTGCTGTCATGGTTATAGCTGCTGTTCCTGTGTCCCCCTCATTAATAGGTGCTTCCAGGGGTGAATTTGCTGGCAAAAGCCACATTATTTTTAACATCACCGTAGCCATGCAAATGCCCAAGGCTGAGAGCGGTAAGGCAGACGGCTTCTTTGCTTTTGCTAGCTTTAATCGGGTTACGTGTGCTGTGCTTAATATTGCATGTGTGGTACCTTGTTTTATTTTTGGCATGGTGGGTAAATTACAGTGTGGAATAGGAATTAAACTTCTGCTATGTATTTACTTTAGGTCAGGAGGGACTTTTGACTACTTGCAAGCTAACACTGGTGAGCCTTTTAGTCAGATGTATTTTTAAAAAATTAATGGCGATTATTGTCCTTCACAATTAGGGCAGGGGTGGTGTGGTGGCACTGCGGTTATCACTGTTGCCTCATACCTCTGGGCACTGGGTTCGAGTCTCTGCCACGGCTCCATGTGTGTGGAGTTTCTCCTCCTGTCGTCATGGGGTTTCCTCCAGTTTCACCCCTCCCACAGTCCAAAAATATGCTGAGGTTAAGTGCAGTTACCAAATTGCCCGTAGGTGTGCCTGTGTGAGTGACTGGTGTGTGAGTGTGCCCTGCGATGGGTTGGCGCCCCTTCCTGGGTTGTTCCCTGCCCCTGCGCCCGTACCCTCCAGAATAGGCTCCAAACCCCCCCATGACCCTGAATAGGACATGTGGTTGCAGAAAATAGATGGACAATTAGGTCATGATGTCTGCACTTTGGTTCTGTCTAAATGTCTCATCAGCACTTTTTAACTGTTCATCTCTTGTTCCCAGGTGGACCTCGCCAGCTCAGCCAAGGTGTGAATAGCTGGCATCCCGCAGATGTATTAAGGAAAGTTCATCTGCAGATCAAAGTTTCAGTGTTGAAAATGTTTGCTTGTGAGCTTTAGGTTTATTTTGTTTTCTTTACCAACAACAGACACATTGTGAATGATCTCAGAATGGTCAAAGCATCTATTGAAAAGATTATTTTAAGGATGTTGTGGAAGGTGTGGTCCGGGGCAAAAATAATTTTGGGGAAGATCAGCCTGCTCTTGTAGATCCTCGGTCTGGTGGGATGAACATGCAATGTCGTGCTGATCTCCATCCTTGCAGGTGCCCGCGCGCTGCGGTCCCATTCCAGATGTGAGGAGAGGTTTGCAGGTGACTCAGGAAAACGCCCAGGAAGTCAAGATGCTCAAACGCTCCCTCACAATATTTGGAAACGTAAGTCAAGTCCTCACGGTCACCGTATCAAACCCTGAGTTTCATCTCTCACTATTTGAACCATTGCCCTGCTCCCCCATTCACCTTAAATCCCATAAAACTTTTAAACTTCTGGCCTGTATGATTTATAACCATTAAATCTCACCAGAGGCATCAAGGCTAAATGTCTCCATCCTTCATTCTGTACCCCAGTGCCATGGTAACTGTGAGCTAACAATGATCCTGCAGTAGAGATTCTTTCCTGTTCTTAACGAACGAGCTCTCCAGAGTGTGCACCTTCTCCGATTCGAGGAGATACGCTGCATACCTGAGACAGTGTATAGAAAAGAAGAACAAGTAATCTTCTCAGCAATAGCACTTCAGTTCTCCTCAAAGAGTTTGGTTAAATCCATCTCTTGTCAAGGATCAAAGGCACACTTTTAGCTATAAAAACTCTTGACTGGTAGGTTGAAGGTTACTGGATATGGGAGGGGCTAAATGGCCGAGGAATGAGCCAAAACGGGAATAAATTGCATAGATGACCATTCTGCAGTTATTATTGCCTGTAATGTGACTCCTAAAAGAATGTATGTTTATGCAAGTTAATCTCCATATTGTTAATACCTGAATGTGTTAGCAAACGGTCATTATGGTATGTATAGCAGATGGTCTCGTGTTTAGGCTGCGTTGGGCGCGAGGAGCCAGCTTTCCACTCGACGCCGAACATCATTTCCCGTTTTAGGTGATCTTTGCCCTCAGCACTGCGGGCCGTGAGCACGTGCCGTACAGGGAGTCCAAGCTCACCAGGATTTTGAGAGACTGGTGAGGGTGCCAGTCTCCCCTTGCTGCGTCTGAGCTGAAGGCATGCCCGCCTGCTGCCCATTTCCAGCCATGGTCATACATGTCACATGATTTCTGGTAGCTTGGTATATATTGATTGACTAAGCACCCCCCCCCCCCTTGCTTGCCCACCTATCCATGCACGGTTAAGTTTAGGGGGAGACTGCCGGACGTCCCTGATCGTGACGGTGTCTCCCAACCCGTCGTGTGTCTCCGAGACGCTGAGCAGCCTGCAGTTTGCGCGCCGCGCCATGGCTGTGCCCAGCCACCAGCTTCGCTGCTCCCCCCTGCAGGTAAGGAGACTAACGCCCCACCCACCCAATCTAATCCATGCAGTCATTTCCCCTGCAGCTGGACACTAATGCTACTTGCGTACATCTTTCTAACCGTTTATCAGCGTTTCTTGTCCCAGTCCTCGGACTCCCAGACAGTCCGCGGTTTTGCTTCTTCCCAGCTTCTGACGTACCTGTACCAGCTGTTCACTGTTTTAGATTGTTTGGTTCAGGCGTGCTGTGAGCTGATGGGGAGCAAAATGTGCACTGGGGGTCACTGAGGACCGGGGTGAGAAACACTGCAGTTGAGGGTCACACAGCTTATAGCAGAAGGGACAGGGCACAAGGCAGGGGGCACCCTGGATGGCATGCCAGTCCGTCACAGGGCACAAGGCAGGGGGCACCCTGGATGGCATGCCAGTCCGTCACAGGGCACAAGGCGGGGGGCACCCTGGATGGGATGCCAGTCCGTCACAGGGCACAAGGCGGGGGGCACCCTGGATGGGATGCCAGTCCGTCACAGGGCACACATACTCTCACACGGCAGTTTGTTTAATTGCATGTTGTTGGACTGAGGTGGGGGAAACCCTTGCAAAACACACTAAAACTGATATGTTTCTCTGTGGAGCTGGATGTTTCCTAAATCATTGCAGTTCCCAAATATAGCCTGTTTTTGTTGTTTTGTGTTTGTTTTCCCAGGTTCACAGTACAAAGACGGCAGAGAAGCCCAAGTCCGGGCAGTGCAGACGGGCGACACAGCTGGCCGCCTTGACGGGCAAGAGGGTATGGTGAACAACTCCTACCCCCCACTTTCTGCTCAGTTTCCCAGTTGTTGAATTTGGGACGCGTCCCCCCCCCCAGCCCCACTTAAACAGTCACAGCTGTGTTTGTGCTCTGAAAGCTTTTCCACCTCGTGATTGAAGCTTTCATGAATGGTACCGCGCTCCACCATTAAACCACGTGGTGATGACCATGCCGTAACTACGTGGCTTTATTTGAATTTTTTCACCTCAGTTTCTTGTCTCCCAAGGCTACCAGGGTCGAACTTTTCAACACTCACGGCAAAGGTGAAGGACTCCAAAGGCAGTGACTGTTTTTTTTTTTTTTT